TCGAAATGATTACTGTAAGTATTGCAGTAGTTGTCTTTTACGCACGAGTGGTATCTTAAAGAAATCGTTTGTAACGGTTTAAAATGCAAAATATGTTACTTTACTTTAAGCTGCAGCTTGACGTTTCTCTGCAGCTATTTTGATGGATAACTAATTTTAGGGGAGAATGCAAGAAAAACATTATTTTTCTAATTATATAACTTTATTGGATATACTTATGATCAATAAAAACTTATAAATATTTAAATCTTTTACAGCGTATTTGTCTTTTTACTTCAGTTGACAACCCTTGCATTAACTTTATGAGTTCTCTGCCCTCTCTCGTAAGTTGAGACGTTGATAAATGCATATTTCTATGAACTCTGCTCCATTTTACAGTTATTGCTTCCATACATATTATATCTAACATGTTACATTATTCATATGACACCATTTGTATGAGTTTGCGATTCTGAAGGAAATTTCACTTTAAATTTCTTTTACAATCAGTTATTTGTCGATCGCTCTGAGATACTACATTCTAAGAACTACACATAACGTAGCTGAACATAGGTGATTGACACTGCCAATAACACTTTATCAGGTATAAATAATAAACAGACGTTTGTCTTTTGTCACGATCTATCTATACTAATATATAAAGCTGAAGAGTTTGTTTGAAAAATTATTGTTGTGTTGGTTAATACATTTATGGAGGAATTTAGGCGCATATAACATCGCGCTGCGACTAATAAAAACGAGGAAACATAGGGAAATGTGGAAAAACGGGGGAAATTATTTATCCTTGTGGGTTTCCATTGCGTACGCTGCAACACGCTTCAAGATACCCAAAATATGTACGAAAGAATGTTTCCTTCTAAATTATTTAAATAAACGTTCAGGACGCTATATATCTATCTTTTAAAATTTACTTGAAAGATCTAAACGCCTTGGATTACAGCTTAAATTTATAGAGTTGAACAGGAGGTTTACAAAAACGAATTCACAAACAAACTTTAATGCTCAAAGCAACTATTCTACGCATTATCTTATGAAAATATTTTTATTTCTTGTACATAAATATACATACTTCTAATATTAAAACGTGTTTACACATGACTGTCGCAAATATAATAAAATTCAACTAAACACTGCATTCATTACATAGTTACAATTTAATTGATTTAATTTGATGGTTTTTAGATTTCAAAGTAAAAGTAGCGTAAAGTAAATACATATCATTTTCATTTGGTAGCCTTTAAAGCAGTCTCTAGTTCAAATACGATCCACAAAGGTTTCGCGTGCCAACGAGCACGTATCAAAGTGGAATTAGTGAAATAAAATATGCAAATTTCCTGCACTAGCGCCGGGTCGTTGCACTTATATCGACTAGTTTATAAAGCTAAGTTACGGTCCAAAATTCTATCCGTTTATATAGGCTGGATATATGTCTGTGCCTGATGAAACAGGATGTAGTTTAAATTAAATATCGATTTTGATTAAAAAATTAGATTAAGACGCGTACGGGACTTGAACCGGCATCCACAGCGTTCCGTGCAGTTGCTTTAACTAAGCTACTGAGCTACTTCGTCATCGTAAAATTTTTCAACTCAAATTCAATTTTTAATTTGAATGATGTCATCAATAACATGTGAAAATGTAAATGGTTTCAGGGTTACAGTTTTCTTCACAAGAAAGTGATCATGCTAGATAAAAATTACTTGTCTATAGTTAACCCGTGTAGAATTGAAATAAAACTTTTAACAGTTTTATTCGCGAAAAAACGTACCTAAAAAAAACTGAAACGTCTCCCCATGTCCACGGCAAAGCAAAGCTTGCGAAACGTCGGGCCATAGTTACAATAGTCTCCAAATAAGTTTTACTAATAATTATCGCGTTTTAGACCGTTAAAGTTATTTATTTACAACCTAAAAATAACATTTCATATATGATTTAAAAGTATTATTTACATTTAATACGTTTCTCTAGTAAAACATATAGAGTTTAACTTTACCCACGTTTCTAGTCGTGTCTACAGAGGGCATTATAAATGTTTTTACTTATAATTCAAATACCTCCTACCAAAGACCTCAGCTAAGTTTACTAAAGTGAACTGTTAACAGCACAACGACCTAACAGTGTTCCGTTTTAGCAATTTATATAAAAGGCTTGAAAAGTTTGAAGATTCAAACAATTTGTATGTTTGTGTTTTAATCTGTGTGTGATTCGTTAGAGGTTTTTTATTAAGATAAAGGAGGATAGACAAGCACGTGGTTCACTTGATGGTATGTGATATAATCAGCCTATAGCATCTAAACAAAATGTGCTGTCGAGCCATTTTGGCTTTGGATATTCGGAAATCCACACACTGACACTGAAACGCGATTAGGCTTCGCGGCTTCTTCATCTGTGGTTCGTGGCCCGGGCGGAATTTTTACATTCCTACCACCCATTTAATATCCAGATTTCCAGAAGAAGTCCAACATGTTACAGAAAAAATAGAAATTTATTGGACCCAGCGGGAATCAAATCAACGACCCGTTGATTATTAGCCACACTTTGCTACCATTAAACAATGTTGTCTTCGTCGTAAAGACATCGTGTGCATTTTAACGGACTGTCGCGAAATGAAAAGAGACTTTTTAATTTTTATGAGTGAACACTTCTTTAGCAGCATCTAAATTCTTTTTGTAATGTAAAAAATGTTAAACACGCGGCAGAACACATGATCATGTCGAAACTTCGTGAGACAGAGGAATAGTACCAATTGACAATATATTATATGAGGCCGCTAGAGGCAGAGTAGCCTAATTTTGTTACTTCACTTATATATATTTTTATAGTCTAAAATTTAAATAAAACACTTTAACGGTTTAAAACGCGATATACTAGTTAAACTTATTTGATAATGATTTTTAACTTCGGCCACGGGGAGACCCGTGAGTCTCCCCGTAACCACGGCTGCTGCAAAGCATCCGAAACGTCGGGCCGAAGTTAAAAATAATTTTCAAATAAGTTTAACTAATATATCGCGTTTTAAACCGTTAAAGTGTTTTATTTAAATGTGTACTACTCGCGTAAACTATAGACAGTATTTAGTCTAAAATTGTTAATCTACAAGGCCACAGTGACCGAAAATTGTTAACATAATTCGTACACAAATAATAGTACAAATTCATTTTCGCCAAATATTTTTTCTTCTTATTGAAAATCATGTTTTTTTACTAGGCTACTCTGCATCTTACATGCCATATTTCTATACTATACCGCCTTTAATTTATATTACATAAATGATAGTACTTTTAATTGATTATTAAAGCAATGCGTGCTTAAATGAAAAAGTACAACGTAATAAAAATTCAAGTCTACTGTTCCTGACATAAGTATCAGTATTTTTAAAATTCATAACTGAATAAATTATATGAAAAATACTGTGTTATACATGTATATCTTTGTGTGTATATTGTGTCGTAGTCTTGTTCAAATATATAAAATGCTTCGTCCAAGAATCTGACTGATATCTCTGACGAAAGGTGGGAAACGGAATAAATATCTGCGTATGAGACAACATGACAACTGAAAAAGCGAGTCACTCTGATACTACTATTTCGTAGGTAAACAAGTGTATCTTTTTTTTGTTTACATCGTCAGTACGTACTGGCAATGTAAACAAAAAAGTATTTATTTCAATGTAGATTTATGTCTATGAATTGTGTTGTGTCTGTAAAATTGGTATACAAATATAAAATAAAGTGAATGAAAATCGAAAATTTAATGATCGAATAGACGATGGCGGTTTAAGTCCTGCCGGAGTCGATATTTTTTTGTCAATTTATTTCCGGTTTTTAATCCATATAGAGCCATCATGTGCAATACCATATAAAAAATATTAAAGTTTTCAAAATAAAATAAATTTGCAAACAAGTTTAACTAATATATTTCGCGTTTTAAACCGTTTTATTTAAATGTGCATTACTCGCGTAAACTACAGACAGTATCTCGCCTTCTTTATATAATATGCTAATAAAAGAAACGCCCCAATCTTCGAGTTTATGAGGGTTGGTCCACGTAATTTCGTCCGTTACACCCACTATTAGTTACGAAATTAAATTCATATTTAACGAGAGAGTTCGCGGGCGTTTGTATGCAAAATAAATGGATCTCATGTCTTGACCTACTTACCTTTGTGTCTGGAGAAAGATAGACCTTGTTTTGACAGTGAAATTACTTATGGAGGGTCCCGCTTTGTACCCACTAATTGTTGCTGCAAGTATGGTAACCATATTTACAATTACATTCTATGCAATAACTGTTACTTCAAAAACATTTTCAGGTCAAGTCAAGTCTTGGTATAAGCTGAGTAAGATCCTATTCTACCAAGTTGCACAACACACTATTAGTTATATTTTGTTAACAATAAGCTATCGTACTGTTTCCCTTTTTTATATTATATATTTATCTTAAATTTTAATTTATATTTGTTAATATGATCCATACGATATACGTTATTTTATTTATCTACAATTATTTCTCTAATAATCTTTAAGATTAGTGTTTAAATTTCTAAAACTTTTTTCCTTGTAAGTACTAAAAATATAATCTTTCCGACCAGCTCAAACATGTTTCTAAAGTAAATGTTATTCTTCTAGAACATGTTGTACTTAGTCTGGAAAATCTGCATAGACAAAATATTTCACCTTCTATCGAGTGAACCCGTGTCAGTTTCCTGTATCACAAAAAATAACTCAGAATTTTCCTTTCATGAAATACCTAATCTATGGCTGAAGTGTGGACCAGGCCGACACGTAACTTCCAATATCAGACTTTAATTTAAACCACGTCGTCGCTTCAGTGACCTTACAATGCATTTCATTACCTCGATTTCACGCCTCAATCTATCACGCCTCGCCGTTTCAATACAATCAGACATAATGATCTACACAGTAAATATGGTGGCTAAAATAGTATTAGTAGTATTATTAACCAAGTTATTAATAATAGACGTAAACGCGAGAATAATTATGCTGAAGAATTTAGATTTTAAAACCAACGGTATTCCAATGAAATTAACAGTAGGCGATGAAGTAAGTGAAGACGCGAATGAAAATTTAGAAAACGCAGAGAGTGTTCCGGGTAAGTCTGATGATGTGAAGAGAAAAGAAACAAGTGAATCGAGATTGGCAACAAAAAATGACAGCAATGTTGTTGATAACCACGTTAATAACATACAACAGGACTTAAAGGACATTGAGGCTGTTTTAAAATCAAAAGCGACGTATCTCTATAACCACCCGTCTAGCAAAAAAAATAGTCTAGCCAAAATCAAACTTATGTTAAAGAATATAAAGAAGATGTTAAAGAGAGAAGAGAAGAAAGTGGAGATTGACGATTTCAAGTCGTACATTCCTATTAGTGAAGATGTGAAGAATCCGGCTCCACGAGGATTGGGCAGATCGTCTTTTCTGGATGGACTACAGATAATAAATAGCGGCAAGAAAATTCAGGACTTTATATAGTAATTATTTTTTAATACTATAATTGATGTGTACTGCAAGAGGACATAGTGAAATATTGTAAAATGTTGTCGATAGAAACACGAAATTAAATAATTTATAATACTTGTATGTATGTATTTTTTATTTTATGTATATTTATGCCTAACCAAGTAATGGAATAAAAACACTTTAACGGTTTAAAACGCTATATATTTAAATGTGTACTACTCGCGCAAACTATAGACAGTATTTAAGTAATTGAAAGTAAGCAAAAACATTTTCAATACAACTTCACGACGTAATTTAATAAATTCGTCGGTAAAAAGTAGATTATATCAGTATTATATATAGTAATGCTATAATACAACAAATACCTAAAAATTAAATCAAATGAAGGTCTTTAGAACACTCCCAAATAGAATTTGATGGTCCTTCCAATGACATCTCTTCGTATCGTCTTTGTTCTTAAAGTTATATATAAAGTTATAAATATGCAAGCAATTATGTATGTCTGTTAAAAAATAAAATATATTTATCTGAAGTGAGAAATGAATAAAATAACATTATTTGACGTTTTTAAATAGTTTAAAATTTCCAGCAGTCACTGAACGGCTGAATCGAAATCGAAAAATATTTTAAAACTTAGCGATCTACTAGAAGATAATAAAACGTTTAGTTACATAATATTTACCATAATTTGATATAAAACGTTTTCATAAGTAGAACAATTATTGCTTATTGTAATAATTTAGCAGCCAAATAGTGCTCGTTACCAACAAAACTGACATAGAACAATTGTGGAGAACCCGTGAATACTTCACAATTGATTTCTGGAACCTATCCAAGTTAGGAAGTCGATTTTACCATTATTTCGCCACTGTAAACGTATTGTTTTGTTTGGCATTGAACTTGCTCCCGCTTTGTTCCTAAACAGACAATATTTTTATACAATATTTGAGTTACCATATTTATCTTTTGCGAGAAATGTTTGAGTTGAAACATATTTAATTTAAGAATTTTGCTTTTATCTGTGGATTTATTCCTACAAAAAATTTTAGGAATCCGATGCAGATAAAAACGTCTCTATATGTGTCTGTAACGTCTGTATATGTGTCTGTAACGTCTGCTTGTGGTATACTATATTGTACGTACTGTGAAACATATTTAATTTAAAACATAGCTTTTATCTGTGGCTTCCTTCGTATAAAGAAATAGTAGGAACCCAGCGATGCAGATAAAAAAAACAATCGTCAAAAATCCGTTTCTCGACCGCCTTTCGTAATTTATTGTTTTGTATTCCGAACTACGTCTAGTCTCTGGTATACTTGAAGTACACATTTTATTTAAACGTAAGCTTTTATCTGTGGCTTCTTTTGTAAAAAAGTAGGAACCCGATAAAAATAAAAAAAATATAGTCCAACGCCCTTTTTAATTTATTGTTTTATATTCAGCACCAGTCTACATACAGTCAAAATAGTCTATATTATTCGTCATATCAATTATATTTAAACAGAATTTAAGTAGATTCATACGTATTTTGTACATTGATTTTTGAGATATAAAAATTATTTCTCTAGATATTTAGCACTGCTTTATTTACAAAATCTATACTAATATTATAAATATGAAAGTAACTCTGTCTGTCTGTCTGTTCGGCTTTAACTCCGAAACTAAAATGATTTAAATGAAATTTAGCACACAGATATTTTAGAGTCTTAGAAAGAACATAGACACTTTTTAATGCTTTTTTAAAAGGGTTGAAAAAGGGGATGAAAGTTTGTATGGAAATTCGTGGTCTTGGAGCTAGAATAATGTAACTTTCTTCTTTGGCTTTTTGGATATATGAGTGGGAGTGGGAGTGGTGGTGGGAGTGGGAGTGTTGGTGGGAGGGGTAGTGGGTGGGAGTGGGAATGAGAGTGGGAGTTAGAGTAGGAGTGATGTGAGGTAAGAGTGTTGCTGTAAACTAGCACTTACAACATAGATTGCCTGCCTTAAATGCGCCCTTACATTAATCAATAAATAGCCTAAATAATTAAAAATTCTACCCCAAATCACTGTACCACGCGGACAAAGTCGCGGACACAACTAGTAGCCTATAAAACGGTTGTGCCGAATTATGTTAATATTTTGCTAGCGTGTGCCGTTCGTAAAAATCGGAAAAATTACAATACTGAAGTAGGTAGGGAAATAATAATTTAAAAAAAAAGTCTTTATAATTTTTACAATTCTTTGTTTTACGTGTTGTTAATGGTATAATCCTTGATTAGAATATTATTGTTATTACCCCTAAGCAAACTGCCGTACCACTGCGTACCTGTTTCAATTATTTCATTTAATGAGTTCCGATTTGTTAACGAAACACTAATAAGGATATACTCGTAGAATACTTTCCGTGATATATAAAATAAGCTTTTAACTGTTTCAAACATAACGTAACGATTTAAGATAAATTGACAAAGTGTTTACCTTTTAAAAGGACTTAATTGATTAACAAGAGTATTCTATAATGTTCTTTTCTTGTATATGTATATTATTTCAACTTCTATCAACCCCAAGCTAGTCTAGTCTCTTCTGACATATAAGAGATTGAATACATAGATTAATATATAAGTGAGGAGTTTGTTTGTTTGAACGCGCTAATCGCGTGACCTACTGGTTCGTATTGAAAAATTATTTGGAAAAAATTCGGAAGGCTATAAGACATAGCGCTGTGACTAATGGGAGCTAAAAAAACGCGGGAAATGTGGAAGAAGTGGAAGAAAATTATCTCCGATAAATCCGCTGCGAGAACAATTCACGATACCCAAAAAATGTGTATGAAAGAAGAATTTCTCTTCAAATAATCTAAAACAATGTCCGGAACACTATACATACGTCTATTACGATTAACTTGCAAGAACCGGGACGCGGGCCTCATTATTAAGGTGAAGAGGAGATTTGGATGGCCCAAAATAACTATTCTAGGCGAACGAAGTCACGGCAACAGCTAGTAAATGTGTTAACAATTAATTCAAAAATTCTTCACACTCAATTATCTTACTAATGTCCTCAAAATTCTAACCTCCATTCCACCGCACAATTCATCCAGTAACTCTATATCTTCATTAATTACTCCACTTAATCTAATGGATTCGCATCTACTGCCAGTTCGATCAATTGCACAGCACTTTTCATTACAAATATACATATTAATATTGGCTTTCAATGTCTACCACACCCCTTTACGTAATTCTGAGTAAAATAAACACGTTTTCATAGTTTGGTTCGATCATGTCTCGTTATGCTTGTTAATAACGAGACTCGATTAAACCAAAATAATTGATTAACGATTACCAACGCCTCACAAGTTCTTAATAATAATAATAAAGCACTGAATTGCACAAACAAATAAAAGTACAAGAAATTACTTAATACCCTAATATTTAGATAAAAAGTAAGCGCAAATGCGGCCTTATCGCCTATGGCGATTTCTTCCAGGCAACCTTTGTTTACAAGAGGTAGAAACAAAAAGAGGAATGGAAGAGTAAAAGTCACCTAGATAGAAGAAGACATTATAACTTATAACACTACTAAATACTAACACAACAGTAAACGGATACACACAGAAACATGTTCAGATAAAGTTCATAATCTTAATTTTTTTATTTAACTGTCTATAGTTCACGTTCGTAGTAGGAACACCATGAGTTAACTAACACGCTTTGGAACAGTATCGAAATGTCGGGCGTAGTAAAAATAAGTTGGAAAATAATTAATACTTTTGAAACGTTAAAATCGGTTTATAAATCTAGACTATTTCCGAAGTTCTGCGGAAGGCTTTAGGTCCAGCAGCCGTGGTCATAGGAGAGACGTCGGGACAAAGTTGGAAACTCGGGAATTAATTTTCAAAAAGTCTAAAACTGATCAAGATATCGCGTTTTTTTTCTTTGAATAATCTGTTGATATGTCTGATGGCCTATATCTATCTTTTAAGATTACCTCACACGGACCGTTTTTATAGTAATCAAATTTGGTAGTAATACTTCATATGGCAGAAGAACGCTTGCCAGGTCAGCTAGTAAAAAATAAATAAAGTTCTTCTTGTACGTTATACGCCCTTCAGCTTGACGGCCACAGACGTACTTAGTTACCTTCACTGTTTAATGATTTGATTTGTAGATTTTCTTTTTCCGTCTATTGACAGTCTAATTTCTGTACCTCAAAGAACTACTGTTCTTCATGATTAGCCATAAAGCTCAGTTGTAAGGTAGACTAACTATCATTGTACTAGTGTAATAATAATAGTTAGTCAACCGTAAAGGCTATAAAGCTGCCCCAACCATTTCGTCGGACTTCGTCCGCCTAGACAGGCTTCAAAATTTTTACAAACCTCCTCCTATCTTTATACATTATTGCTGTTACCCAGGGCGTCGTTCATATCCAGTCGATCTTGCAAGTGAATACATTTTTTAGACCGTTCAAATAGGAATCATTCTATCGTACATCAATATTTGGTAAGCGTAAGCGTGATCTTGAGTATATAGGCCTTCCTCGATAAATGCTCTAACCAACACAAATATTGTTTCCATTTGAACCAGTAGTAGAAATAAGCGCGTTCAAACAATCAAACTCTTCAGCTTCATATATTAAGTAGTATATATTAGCTTGGATTAAAGTTCGACAAAGTGAAATCTAAAACCATTTTTTTAGGTAACTCGTTACAGCCCCAGACTGTCCTTTCGCGTAAGATAGTAGCTACATACAGCTGGATTAATTACATCGACTATGAATACCTTAAGTTATCTATGGATTAATTATTTTTAAAAACTTATTATTTAAAATTTTAGTTATAAATCAAATTGTAACGATGTCGTAACCATTGGTGGACTAAATATGAAAAAACTACGGTAGCGCCATCTGTTTTCTTATAATTATTATCTGCAGGAACTTGTTGTGTTTTTAAACAACTAAATCACGTCCTTTTATTTATTGATGAGCAATTTTAGCGTATTTTTTTATATTGTATACGCAAGTACTAGATA